TCCCCCCGGTGCCATCAGGCCTTGCTGCAGCCAGCCTGCATTGCCTGTCCTGAAAGCAGAGGCCGAATCATAGAATCATTTGGGTTGAAAGGGACCTTTAAAAGCCATTACTCTGACTCCTCTGCAATGAACAGGGAGGTGTACAACTCCATCAGATGGCTCAGAGTCCAGCCCAAAAGCAGGTCAGGTGCCTACAAGTGATAAATCAGAGTACAAAACATTCATAGTAAAGCAGTGTTGGGGGGGATAACACTTAAATCCTCTTCTATTTTTCTTCTGAAGACAGCACTCACTTTGCACAGGGAGACAGTTCCATCCTTTCTGCCACCTGGCTGTTGGTTTTAACCAAGTTATCTTTGTGTGTTTGGAGGGGATGTGCTTGAGATCTGTCACACGTGGGAACTGCTTTTGTGTCAAAGCAGGTGCAAACGGCCCCAGTCTCAGGTGAGCACTGCATTGCCAGCAGCTGTGTGCAGCTGGATTTATAGCAGCAGTAGGTATATCTTCCAGCACCAACCATTCAGCTCCTTCATAAACAGGCAGCAGCCCACGAGCAGTGCCTGCTTGCCCTGACACACAAGTGCAATTCTTTCTGCATCATGAGAAGCCATCTCTGCACCCCGGTGAGGGGGGGAGCAGTATTGACCCCTGGGTGCCCCATGCTGTGCTGGGGTTGGTGTCACCTCAGTGCTGGTGCATGGACAGACTGCACTGTAGGTCCCACTTGGCTGATGTCTCCTTTTGTCTGTACCAAGATTAGTCAAGGCCTTAAAATATCAGATCCCAACAGGTATTACTCCAGATACACTGGCCCAAATTAATTGAGGGCAGAGTCTGTTGGTGCCACACCACTGAGAAGTGTCCTCTCCATGTGAATCCAGCTGTAGGCAGCGGGGGCATGGATTGCACCAAGATTTGTGTATGAGCTCAGTCCCTGCTGCTGTTCCTTAGGGATTCCCAAGGCTTCAGGGCCTGCAGGAGAAGGATGAGCTCCTGGGCTTCAGCCTGCAGCCAGCACAGACCTCGTGGTGCTCCGGAGCACCGGAGCGTGGCTGGCATGAGAGCAAGGTCACAGCTGGAGACATTGCTTCTCTCTGACACAAAGGCAAGTAGCAAGCAGTCTTCAGTGGGAGCTGAGTAACTTTATCAGTAATTAAGTGTCCTAATTACTATGCTATTAGTGCATTTGTTTCCTTCAGCATAAAGCAGATTGCATGTACTGCAACAAGGCGAGGAGCCAGCAGCTCTAGAAAGCAGAGAGCAGGGGCTGTGTTGTGCTGAGCATCCTGCAGCCTGGGAACATGGGATGGGACAGGAGGGATGGGATGGGATGGGATGGGACGGGACGGGACGGGATGCACAGGAAAGCCACCCCTGGAAGTTCTGCACCAGGGGACAGTTGTGCCAGAGCAGCTTGGCACAGAGGGCTGTGCTCTTAGAATTAAAATCCCAAGGTGAAATGTGCCATTGCTCAAATGCTGCTCTGCTACCCCATTGCTTACAGCCTCACACCAGTGAACCCTCAGCTCCTCCTCAGCAAAGCTACAGGAGTGGCAGGGAGGTGTTATTCTTGGCAACGCTCCCCACCCCCCTTCTCTTTTTGATGTTGAACTGCTCATTTTCAGATTTTGAGTCACAATATTTCTCCAAGCAAAAAGAGTACGAGTTTGGAAAAAATCCAGCTTAGTCCTTCTAACTTCTTTGTGGTCGCTCCAGTTCACAGCAAAAGAAACTCCAAGCCCTGCTGGCACTGGGGCACACAGTGACACTGATCCACAGGGTCCCACCCTGACCATGCAGTGTGTGTGTGGAGCAGGAGGGAGCGAAGGGCTTGTGAGAAGCAAGCAGCAGGAGCAGAGCAGAAATGTTCTCATAAGCCCATCCCTACAGGGTGGGTGTGTGGAGTTCATAGAGCTGTTAAGGTTGGAAATGACCTCTAAGGTCATAGAGTCCAACCGCCGAGCCCTGCCCACGTGCCCACCAAACATCCCTCAGTGCTCCATCTCCACATTTCTTGGACACCTCCGGGGATGGACGGCTTGTCATGGATGGAATGAAAGGGAATATAAAGATAATTTAGAATCTTTGTGTGTTTCGATTCCATACTCAGCAGGGAGCAGAGCTCCACATCACTCTCAGCTTGGTGATTCCCATTTGCCCCCGATTGGATGTTGCCAGGTGCTGGACCCGGGCATTGCCTTGCTGGGTGCTGTCTCTCTGCAGCCCAAACCGTGCTCTGAGCAGCTGAACAGCACTGATAGGGGACAGGAGAATTCCTGCGAGAGCTGTGAACTGCACTACCTTCTTTTTTTCCCGACTAAAAATACTTCCAACAAAGCATCAAAGCTCCTTGAAATAGTCCATCTCCAGCAGCAGGATCCAACTTTGGGCTCCCTGCAGCCACGTGTTCCCCTTAAAGGGCAGCAGGTAGAGTGAGGCGGCTCTGGGAGCCACAGGGAGGGGTGGGCCTGGACGACCCTGCTGTGCTCAAAGGGGCTCTGCCCCAGGGGAGGTGCAGCAGTGCCCAGTGCCCCCAGCACCTGCTCTGAGCATCCTCACAGAGAGCGCTGCAGGTGCCCGAGCTCCTCCTGCTCTCTGAGGCTGCACAGCGCATCCTGAAAGCTTTCTTTTCTCTTCATAGGGAGCAAAATAATTCGCTCCCCCCTCCCCTTTCCCCAAGCGCGTTTAATCATTCACAGGTTAGTCATATTCCTAAGAAAAGAAAACGCAGTGTGACGGTGAGCGACAGCTCCTGGAGAACTGCTGCTAATTATAGCCTGGCCCCGAAAAAATACCACAGGGTTTGGGGGGGGGGGAGGGGGGTCCACGTTTGGTTGGGATCCCCACATCCTGCATTGGTGAGCAGAGCCTTTCTGCTCATATGGGAGCCCTTAAGCCTTATTTTGCCCTCCCTAAAAACTCAGAAATCCTCCCTCACTGCTGTGAGGGTTGGTGCTGATCATTGGTTATCACTATTAATTTCCTTAATGGTTTGCCTCTCTCCCTGCACGGTCCCAGAGCTCCCTATCACTTGGTGCGCCATGATGAAGTTGCAGCAGTTGCTGATGGGACGGCACAGCACAAGAGGAGGAGGAAAATCGAGCAAAAGCCTTTTTTTTCCTAGGAAAACAGTTTCACCCCTTGCTACATGGCAGTCTCTGCATGTACCATGGGCAGAGTGCTCTGGGGGCTGCAGGTGGCCACCAAGCACCATCCCAAAGGCAGAGGGGTTTTCCCATCTCCTGGGCACTGGCAGCACTATAGGGTGAGGAACCTTCTGCAGGGCTTCCACCCAATGGGAATTCATCTGCTGCGGGGGACAGCAAACACCCACAGGACACAAAGGCTGCATGGCTGGGATCTCAGCGGTGCCATCAGATGGACTGTGCCCTACTCTGGTGGGGGAGCGGCCCTCAGAGCCGGGCTGGGGCGGCTGCATCCTCCCTTGGGAGCACAGCTGGCGTCCCCAGATAGGACCATGTATGTAACCACAGGATGTGTCCCCAGTTAGGACCATGTATGTAACCACAGGATGTGTCCCCAGATAGGACCATGTATGCGATGCATCCCCACGCAGGGCCATAAGGGATGTGTCCCCAGGTAGGACTGCACATGTGATGCTCCCTGAAGTAGGACCACGTGTGAGATGTGACACCGTGCATACGGTGTGTCCCCGGATAGGACTGCACACACAGGCCGTGTCCCCAGGTAGAAACACGCATGTGGTGTAATGTGATGTACCCTTGGGAAGCTTCGGGATGGCTCAGGACCCGAAGGACACCACGGAGCTGGTGCCTGCCCAGAGACCCACCTGCACGGGGTGATCTCTGCGGGTGAGAGCGCAGGAGGAGCTGACAGAGGGACCAGGAGGTTGCGTCCGAGCGCTGCGGGGTTTGGAGTTAGATTCCTGCCCGCTGCGGAGGTGCTCGGGGTCCCCACCCGGCCCTCCCCCACTGCCAGACCCGCACCGCGGCGGATCCCCACGGGGTCCCCCAGCCCCGGCCTCGCCCCGCACCCCGCGGATCTGGGCCGGGCTGCAGCTGAGGTTACGGGCCGGGGGCGTTACGAAACCGGCACGGGGTGCGTGGGGTGGGGGAGAGGCCTCCGAAACGCCCCCGCATGCGGGAGAGCAGCGTCCGCGCTCGGGAGATCCGCATCCCTTTGTGAATGACGGAGCCGGAACAACCGCGGTGCCTTTGGGATTTCTGTCCCTGCGGGGGGGGCACGGACCGCACCGCGCCGGCTCAGCCCCCACCCCGAAAAGCTCCGGCGGCACAAACGACGGCGGCGGCCCCGACCTTGTGCCGGGGGAGGGGGGTCGGGGGGGCGGATGCGGAGCCCCCGCGCCGCGTGCTCTGCGGAGCGGCCCGGCCTCGTTGTTATTCCGAGCACAGCGGCTCTGATTCACAGCGCTGGATCATGAATATAAGTGAAGACTTTGACGTCAGAGTTGGGATTTATCAGCAGATCCAATGGGGCAGGAATATTAAGTGCCGGTGGATGCCAGAGAGCCGCCACCGCCGCTATTGGCGACGTTCGCCGAGGAATGAGGCGTAGCACCGCGGGCTGCGGGCACCGGGAGGGGAAAACCTGAAAACGGGGGCGAGCGGCCGCTCCCCGGGCACGGAGAGAGGTAGGGGCGGGGGGCGCGGGCGGGGGGGGGCAGCGGGCATCGCTCTGCGGCAGTGCGGGGAAGAGAGGGGAAAGTTGGGGCGGCCGTACCCGGCGTCGCCACGCCGCATCCCCGCGAGGGCGACCAAAAATAACGACCCGAGGGCTGCGGGGAGCGGGGGGGGCGGGGGCGGTTCTGTGCTCGGAACGGGCGGCAGAAGGTGGCCGTGCCGCGGGGGGGCTGCGGGGCGGCGGCGGGTGCGGGGCCGCGAGGCTGCGGTGAAGGAGGGGGGGGGTGAGAAGGGGTCGGCTCGGCGCCCCGTCCCGCACCTCTCGCTCAGCGCTCCCCTCTCGCTCTCTCCCCAGCGATGCTGCACGGCCCCGCCGCCATGGGAGAGCCCTGGCAGCCGCAGTCCCAGCAGCAGCGGCTCCCGGCTCTCGGCAACGCCTCGGCCCCCAGCGCCCGGCCCTCGGCGGCGGCTGAGGAGGGGGGGGGCCCTGCGGGCACGGCGGCCCCGGGCGGCGGGGGCCCGGCGGCGGCTGTCAGCCCTTGGGACATCGCTCTGTGCGCCACGGGGACGGCGGTGGCCGGCGAGAACGCGCTGGTGCTCGCGGTGCTGTTCTACACGCCCAGCCTGCGGGCGCCCAGCTTCGTGCTGATCGGCAGCCTGGCGCTGGCCGACCTGCTGGCCGGACTGGGGCTGGTGGGCAACTTCGCCGTGCGCTACCTGCTGCGGCCGCCCAGCGAGGCGGCGGAGCTGGGGGCGGCGGGGCTGCTGCTGGCCGCCTTCTCGGCGTCGGTGTGCAGCCTGCTGGCCATCACGGTGGACCGCTACCTGTCTCTGTACAACGCGCTGACGTACCACAGCGAGCGCACGCTGGGCTTCACGTGCGGCGCGGTGCTGCTGATGTGGCTGCTGTGCCTGGGCGTGGGGCTGCTGCCTCCGCTGGGCTGGCACTGCCTGCGGGACCAGAGCGCCTGCAGCGTGCTGCGGCCCGTCACCAAGGACAACGCGGCCGTGCTGGCCGTCACCTTCCTGCTGCTCTTCGCCCTCATGATGCAGCTCTACCTGCAGATCTGCAAGATCGCCTTCCGGCACGCGCAGCAGATCGCCGTGCAGCACCAGTTCATCGCCACGGCGCAGGCCACCTCCACCCGCAAAGGGCTCTCCACGCTGTCCCTCATCCTCGGCACCTTCGCTCTCTGCTGGATCCCCTTCGCCATCTACTCGCTGGTGGCCGACTCCAGCTACCCCGCCGTGTACACGTACTCCCTGGCGCTGCCCGCCGCCTGCAACTCCCTCATCAACCCCATCATCTACGCCTTCCGCAACCCCGACATCCAGAAGTCGCTATGGTTGGCGTGCTGCGGCTGCGGCCCCGCGCTCTCGTCCCGCCCGCGGACATCCAGCGACGTGTGAGAGCCTCCTCCTCTCCTCCTCTTCCTCGTCCTCCTCCCCGCGCTCCAATCCCCTCCGCCGTCCGCGTTTCCCACCTGGAGGATCCCCCCGTCCCGGGAGTGCCAATGGGCAAAGGGGAAAAGGGGGAAAAAAATAGAAAAAACAAGGGGGTGGGGGGTTGGGGGGAGGAGAAAGAGAGAGAAAGGAATGCCGATGGTTTCCTTAGAAATGTTATTTTCGTACACATTTTATTTTTTATTTAAAAACACAAAACGCCAAAAAAAAAAAAAAGGGGGTGGGTGGGGGGAGGGGAGAGGAAAGGACGGGAGCTCGGCGCACTGCGATTGTCCCATCCCGTGGAGGCTGACCCCGAGTGCGGGGTCTCTGGGCGGGGGCCCACGGTCAGGTGATGCTCTGCTATGCAATAACGGGGGCGACTCCGGAGGAGCACAGGGAGCCGGGGGAGTGGGGCAGATAGGGAGGGGCGGAACAAAAGAACTTTAGGCGACGGCCGTTCATTTCATAGGGGTGATGGCTGGGGAATCATCCACTCCTCCCCCTGCCCCCTCCCCCAAAAAAAGATGGGCTGCAGGCAGGGGCTGCCCTTCCCCTGTACACGGGGAGTATTGGACCCCGAAGGGATCCGGGCTCTCTGAGACCCCGCAGGGCGGCCCGCACCGCCCCCTCACAGCTCCGGCCGCTCCCGACGGCGCTGCGGTGGCCGCACGCAATGCCGCATCGCGGAGCCGTGACCGGGCGTCCCTCGGCTGCTTCGGGCCCGGGGGGGCACAGCGCACCTCTCCGTCGCCACCGCGGATCCGCCGCTCCGCTGAGTGCGGAGCCCCGGGGCTGTGCGTGGGGCTCCGTTCTCAGGGCCGTGTGCAGGAAAGGTGCGGGGATGCGGAGTGGGAAAAGCTGCGGACACTTGAGCTCGTTTGCTGCCTTTTGAAAGTGGCCGATCTCCGTTCTTCGTTTCCTTTTTTCAAAACCTCTGGCAACGGGTAATCGGCACAACGTTGAATTAGCGTACACAGAGAAGTGAATATATATATTTATATAGAGATATATCAAAGTAATATATACATGTGGACACCTTCCCCTGCTCATTGTCCCCTCCCCCAGTTGCTGTGACGGCAGCCGGGTCCCTGCAGTGTCACACCTCCCCGCACAGCCAGGTTCAGCCATTTTTGAAGCATTGTGAACACTTTTGGGATGTTTTTATACAGCCGGACCCAGAGGGCGGTGTTGGTGTCTCTGGGCGACCCATCGCTTGTTTTGTACTTTGAATGAAATGTAGCCCTGACTTACTGGCTCTGGGTACACCTCCGTGTGACAGAAATGGCATTTTCTTGGATTTCCTGCACGCATCAGTGGTGACAGGGGATGGTGAGCAGAAAGCTGCAAGCAATGCAGCAGGGGGCCGGCCACTGCTTTCGGTGTGCTGGCACTGAGCATAGTGCCAAAGCTCCTCCAACAGTGCCACAAATCCCAGAAATGCTGATGGCCATAGAAACCACTGGTGCAATTCTTGTGCTTTTCAGAGGAGTTGCCATGGGCTTTGCAGAACACAAAGTCTTTGGCTGGAAGAGGTCAGTGCGTGTCCACCAGACCCCTGTCCCTGCCTTATGCTGCCATTGCACCTCTGCAAATATTTGCAAAAAGCTTCTGCTGGAGGATGCATGGCCAGGGCCCCACTTGCACTCACACTGTTTCTGGACTTTGTGGCACCCAGCTGGGATTGACAGCAGCAGAAGCAAGCAGAACATTTGTATTTTGCAATGGAAGATTGGTGAGGAGTAGCCAGCAGGTTGGGTCTCTTTTTGGCCCAGTTCATTCAGTGGCCAGCAGAAGTTCCTAAGGGTTTCAGACCAATTTGTTCATTGTGAACTTTGCGTAGTAAGAAATCATTCCTGTTCTCAGTAGGTGAAGAGGTACCTCTTTCTTGTAGAAACATCAGATGTGGGGGGGCTGGAGCGCCATTGATCTTGATAATCATCTGTATTGACGTGTATTGACCAGCATCAGGTGTTCACATAATTGTTAACAACTAATCACACTACTTAAAATTAAGAGGAATAATTGTTTGATGCACATGGGATTTCCTTGCAACTCTTTCGTGCTCGCTCTTTTTTGGGGTGAGGTGGTCATGCTCACAGCTCCATCTCTGCCACTTGTACCATTTCTGTTAAAAGTGCCATTGGTTTCTGCAGCATCGCCCAAGAACTGCCCTTCTCCTGTTCCTGCCACCCCCAGAATGGAGTTTTCCCACCCCTGTCGGGAACTTTTGCAATGCTGAGCATTGCAGAGATAAAGCCGGTTCCAGTAGAGATGACCCACACTAGAACTCTTCTACCCTTGCCTTTGAGGGATGTGAACAAATAGACTCCAGCTCCGAGCCCACCAATGGATTTGCCCATTGGCCAACCACCAGTGTAGGGAACAATGACTGTGATACAGAAAATGGTCTCGAGATGAACGGAAAAATGTTGTCATGAAACTGCATAGGACAGGATGCCGTGGAGGCTGAGGATGATGGTAGTTGCCTTTATAAGTTCTGCTTGATGTCAAGCGTAACTGTGTCCAAACCAAGGTTGCTCCTTCCCTCTTCCTCCCTGTCTCATCATACCTGCTTCCCCAGGAACGAGGACATTCCAGAGCAATCAGGACAGCTGATCATTCTGATGTAATTGTTCTCATTAGCCTTTTAGCTTGACCAAGAAGGGTGATCTCAAAGGAAAATGTCGTTACCATTCGGTCATGGTAAAACCAAGCCCCTATGATGCACTTTATGAGCGAGTGGAAACAAATCAATGCTGTTATTGCACTGTATCTCTATTGTGTATAATATTATACATTCATCTGTAAGAGTAATTTATTTTTATTACTGTAAATAAAACTGTTTAAGTGGTTTGTCAAGAGGCTATCCAAAAATGGAGGGTAAAATTAAAACGTTTGAAGACCTGGGCTCCTGCCCCAGGCATGTGCCATGCTGGTGTCCGTCTCTTCATTCAGCTGAATTGAGCCTGGTACAGGGCCATGCTTTCCCCAGCAAGGGCAACTTGGGACAAGCTACGAGGGCTTGGGGCAAACTGAGTGCCTCTGGGTCAATTATCCCTTGGGAGCCTTGGGCAATGCCTCCAGAATGGCAGCTTCTCCCAAGAAGGCACTTCTCGGCCACCTAATTACCCAGCGGGTCAGGGATTACATCGCTGTGGGAATTAATTGATCTTTGAGAGCTGCTTTCTCTAAAATAAGGGTTACAGCGCTATCAGCTTTGCGCTGCTCCTTCTGCCCCCGGCTCTAATAGAGATCTGCACATCACGGGGCTGCCAACGGCGAGGGCGAGCTGACAAAAAGCCGAAATGAGATATACTCGAACCTCTTAAAATCTTTATTTGACTCTAGTTTTTATTAGCACATGCATAAAGTGTCAACAGTTGGGGATTATGTCGGACGACGTTTTTCACAGATCAGTCACAAGCGGTGCTCCGGCTCTTGGCGGGCTCCATCCTTCTCCCCATCCCTCCTGGTGCCGGGCAGAGCCCCCGGCGCTGGGATACACGTGGTCACACGTAGCGACTGGGGACGTAGACAGGTACAAGCAGCAACATCTACTCACCTACTGACTAAGTGCACGTGGTTAAAAGACCCCGTTAGACAGCAAACACCTCTTTCTTCTTTAAAGTTAACTATATAATAATAGAAATTGGGTTATACCCTGCACTGCGTGACCCTCTCCCGAGGGAGAGGTGCCTATCTCCTGTCGGCTGCTTCCACCAAGTGGAAAACTGAAGGGAACGTGGGTAATAAGTCTGCTAGTAGTAAAACCCCAGCCTTTTGCAGGAGCCACTGCTCCTTCCCCAAGGGCACTCTGCCCTGAGCCTGTCCAGCAGGTTGGGAGGAGGAGGAGAAAGAGGAAAAGAAGGAAGAGGAGGAAGAAGAAGAGGAAAAGAATGACTCCACCTGTATACAACCTGAAACAAACCCACCAGCAAAAGCACGTCCCGCAGCCAAGCAAGGATGGGGTTTTGCCCTTCCTGCAGCCCCACTGTGCCCTTCTGGAGACTGTTCCCTGCTAAAGGTGCAACGTGTGCACCTGTGTGCCTGCCAGCGTGGGTTGGCCAAGATCAGAGTGAAAACTGATGCCAAAGCTGCCCTGGGATAAAGCCCCACATGCAGGGAAGGAGGAATCCTGGTGCACAGCTCGTGGCTTGGGCAGGTCACCTGGGGAAGGCTGAGCATCAGAAACACTTACAAATGCTTAGAAATGCCCTGGACCTCCCCTTGGCTGGGGATGGGCGCTCTGATTGCTGGATGTCCATCGTTGCTGCTCCAACCTCTGGGTGCTCCGTGGAAACCCATGGGAGATCCCCAGAGAAGGCACTTGTGTCAGTGATAACACTGCAGCAACTGCCTAAAGCAACACAGGAGATGTTCTTCTTCACCCTTGGCAAGACCCCAGAGTGAAGGAAAACAGAGAGCTACCAGCCCCAAAACACTCCTAACATAACATTTCAGAGCAAAAGTTTTCCCTTCAGTATGAGTTTTCCTTTCTTTGTTCTAATCTGCTCCAATCTGAGGTGAAAGGCACCACAAAGAGAGACTCTATGTGGGAAAATGGCCACAGCTGGATGTAGACCTGAAACCCCTCAGCACAAATCAACTTTGGTGGTGGATCCACAACCAACGCTCATACTGGGATGAGAATTGGGAACCAGCAGTACCACCTCTCCTCCAGCCTCAGAGCAGCCCTAACAGAGCCAGCAGCTCCCCAGTGTGCATCACTGTGACTTTAATGGGCTCTAAGCCCACCTCACTTCCATCTCAAGAGTGTTATGGTTATATTTTCCATGAAAGTGACCTTTTGCCAGGTAACTGTTTCCAGCGGAGGCATCAGGCACTAGCAAGCACTGACAGCGTGTGAAATCAGTGGGATTTGAAGCACCTGAGCTGAGGTGGGGCCTTCAGGGATCAAAGCACTTCCTACCATAATGGAGACCTATCTCCTTGCTGAGCTGTGGTTTGCTGGGCTGTTTCTTTTGCTCTTATGAATTTCATATAAACCAATTTTTGGAGGTGGTTTGGTGACGGCAGATGGGCAGCTAGCTGATGGGCAGCACTGGTCTCATATATATATATTTTTTTCTTGGCAGCCATGTAAGTTTTTTCTTTGCTTTGTTTTTCTGAGGTTTAAATTTGTTTATTTTTAGATTACTTTGTTTCTTTGCAGTGGGTTTTGTCTACCTGAGGGTATTCTTGTACAGAGTGGTGGGATCGTGACCAAGTTAAGATGACGGTGCTTTCTTTCTATTCTGTTTCCTCTGACTTCCTAATACTTCTTACATGCTCAGTGCTGGAATTCCCATCAAGCTGGATGTTCCTGGGACCACTCCAATCCCTTGACCTTCTCACCACAGGACAGGAGTGCAGGGGAGGGCTTGCTTCACCAACACCTGGGTTCACAACCGCAAACAGGATGCCAGCAACAGTTTTAAGCACATTCTCACTAAATGCGGAAGACTACAGAGGGACCTCTGGGTGCTGGTCTGAAGGGTGGTGCCTGTGAGACGATATCTGGCAGGAGAGAGATGGGAAGGGGAAGGTGAAAGATCTGTAACCTGCTATAACGTAGTATTATGGAGCAGTCAGTGGCCTCAGGACCCTGTATCAGCATGGACAGAGACTAATACTGATGTTACAGCAATGCTGCCTGCAAAGGATGCCACAGCTAAGCATGTCCCATCTGCAAGCAGTGCTCCAACAAGGGGAATCCTGCTTTGGGTCCATTCTGTTGCCTCTCCTAACTTGTATGTGAGTGTAGTACCAAAGGCTTTGGGATGAACATCTACTGAATCCTATGACACTTCTTCCCCTTCTCAGCAAAATCCATGTGTGATTCTCACCCGGAGAAAGTAAAGCCTGAATGAGTGAGTCTAGGAAAGTTGAGGTTTGTTAAAAGGTTGGATTCACACGTGTACACAGACACACACACACACAAAGGACACAAGGGGAAAACACTTCTGGCTCTCAAAGATTAAAATATTTTAAAGACTAGGGTTAAGTAAAAATGCCTGGAGGAGGGCATCTATGAGCTTGGGGGCCTCACATGAATTGCATGGGCAGCTCTAAGTGCCAACATGTAGCCATGCCAGCACTGCTGGGTGCGTTCCCTACCATGTGCATGGTCATCCCAGGGGGGCACAGCCCCAGGTGAAACAGAGGCCTGGGGATGGCCACCCATACAAAGACAAGATCAGCACGTCTCAGGGCTCCCATGCTTTGCTCAGGCACTTCTGCGTGAGGATGGTGGAGGGACAGAGAGCCCTGCCATCAGCAGGGGGATGCGGCTGTGGTGTTGGTTATGGGATCAGCTGGGGAAAAGGACAGTAGTCCTCGAGGTGTTGCTGCCCAGTTGGGAGGGTAAATTCATGGGTATGTGAGTGAGTGAGCGAGCATTTGTGGCTTCTAAAGTGCAGTGCAGGTCATATGGTCTTTACTGTAAACTGTAAGCTCCTCAGGACAGAGCCCTTGTCCTTACTTTTATTTTTTTCTGTGAAGTGATGTGCCAGCCTAGAAACTCTTAACCCTAAATAACAACAACTACTACAGGACAACAGGGGATGGTGAGAAGGACAGTCTGTGCTCCCTGTGCAGTATGGTGGGAGCAGATGGGGAGAGCTTCCCATGGCCCTCCGTGCTCCATCCTCAGGGCCTTAGCTTCTCTGAAGAAGCACCCTCCAAACAAGGATCTCCAACCTGTCTCCCTCTGTGTGGGGCTTCCTTTGGTCATTACAGGGAAGGTGTTGATTCAGGTTCTGTTCCCAGGGGGGTCTCCCAAGCTTCTGTGTGTCTTGAAAAGGAGATACAGATGACACAGTTGCAAGGAGGGAATTTGAAGGGATGTAGGGAGCTCCTTGGAGAAGCTGTGCTCAGCCTTCCTGGGGTGAAATAACTGCCAGTGCAGGAGCCCTCGCAGGGTGTGATGCTCACTCCCCCCTAGGTGTCTGCCTATGGTGGAGAACCAGAAGCCACCCAATGCCTTTTTATTCCTTCAGGAAACCGATCCTCTAAAAGCTTCCAGCATCACCTACTGGGTCTGAGGCTCCTCCAAGACTGAGGAGAAGCTGGGTGCAAGACCAGATTGTGAACACTACCTGACTTCCGTAACCTTCATCAGACATCAGCCAGACCAGCCTGCACAGCCCACGGGCACAGTGCTCTCCTAATGTCCCCTTCCATGTCAATTGGAGGTACTCAAGAGGTTCCTGATGGGGCCTCAGGCACTAAGCCTCCTGTAACATCTCTGAGCAGAGTCAAACCAGCTTATTTTCTCTTTGGATGACTCAAGCCTAGTTCATTCATATGCACACAGAATGTGCTTCCCCCTGCTGGCAATATTTTGTTTATTATTTTTAATCTATGCCCATAAATTGGCAAGGAGGAGAAAGCAGATAAAATGGCAAGGGGAGCCTCAGGAGACCGGTTGGGCTCATTAAATGTTTGGCACTCCGTGATTATTTGTTGGCAATGAATTGTCACTGGTATGTTTTAACATGGAACACGATACCTAAATATGCAGGGGAATCTCCCCTACCCACTTTTGGTACACTTGAGAGACAGGAGGAATTCAATCATCTGTGACCTGGATTGTATTTTTAATGGCTGCCAAGCTAGATAAAATATTTAAATATTCACTTTTATATCAGCCCACATGGGGACTTGAGCATTTCAGGTTGTATAATGCAGGGTGGCCTACTTTTGGTGTATACAGAAATAGGCACATATGTACAAAATACTGAGTGTGCAGCATATGGGTCAGCCAGCCAGCATTAATTAGCCTGGCACAACCAACTCCTGCAGCGCTAGCCTGGCCCAGACCCACCAAAGAGCTTGTGCTGGATTTCAGAGGTGACCAGGTCAAAAAATATTGGCTTATGCCTGGAATAAAGGCGGTCATCCTCAGAGGTGGCTGAGACCCTCAAGCAAAGGCACTGAGGACATCGCTCTGCCAGCAGAGCTGACCTTGCAGCAGTGGCTGCTGAATGATACTGGGGCTCCTGGTGCCATCAGGTGCTGCCCATCTGCCTTGTGATGCTGCCAGGAGAGAGCTGCGGAGCGTGAGGGACACTGCCATCAGACCAGAAATAGGTGCCCACAGTTTGCACTGACTATACAGGTTACTTGTTTATTGACTAGATAAGAAACCTGAGCAGAGGGCTCTAACACAGCACCTCACTGGGAGGCTACCTGTGGATCAGCCCATCTGTCCTATCAAGACGGCTCCAGCACAGCCAAGGCAGACTCAGCCCTTAGAAGAGCTGAGTGTTGTCTTCTAGCAACAGCAATGCTGGGGGGCTTATGATCCTGCTGCCTTGCTTTGGAGTTGGGGATGTGGAAGGGACTGGAATCTCTTGGGGGTGACTTGGCAATGGTGAGGATGTTCTGGGTCACCACAGGTGAGGATGGCATAGGAACATGAAGGTGCAGGGAAATGGGGGCAAGCCCTGCTCCCTGCCACCACGAGGCCCTTGGGCCCTCTGCCAATGTGACCCATGTGCAGGGTAAGCAAGGTTGAGTGTGTGATTGTCAAGTGCTTTGCCACGCAATGGCATCGACCCTGATAACAGCACGGGCTGATGGCTGCCAACCTAAAGTCACTATGGGGTCACCATGAGATGATGAGAACATGAGCCTGCTGGGGTCACCCTCACCCTCATGTGCAACCACAGCAAGTCCTACCAGAGTCATCACATGCTTTCATGTGGCAGTGCACAACCAGAGCATGAAAAAAAGAGACCCAACCTTGCAGGGACACTCAGCCCCACTTCCCACCGTGGGAGCAGCCACTGACCCAAAGGCTGAGCCATCCCCATGTATCTCTGAGCCCCTTCCCCCATCTCCATGCACTGAGATGGGGGATAGAGTCAGCACCACAGCTGACTCCACAGCCCCATGAACACTCTGACAGGAATGGCAGCCTCTCATGTGAGGCCATTATTCTTTCTAAATTACCAAATAACCGATTTCTTTTCACATATGAACAGTATCACAGGTGCAACTATGTTAACAATGTTCTGCAATAAGTGCTGACAGGTGACTGCCTCTATGTTACTCTGATTTTTTTCTTTTTCTTTTTAATACAAGATCTACTTCTGAATTGTTACATGTCACATCCCAGCCTTCCTGACAATGAAATCCCATTGTGAGCACAAGGGTGGCTCCCCACCCAGTGGGGACACTGGGATGGGGCCAAAAGCCAAAGGACTTCCTGTGCAGCTCCTTCAATGGTGTTAAAATCAAGGAGAGCTTCCTTGAAGGAGAGGGGGGACCAAACACTGGTCACAGAGGCTGTGGACCAGAGCAGGGCAGAGAAGGGTGCAGAACTACCACCAGCACCAACAGATTTCACTTTCCACCTGAAATCCTACCCCAGCCACCATGGTCTTCTCCTGAACCCAGTCCAAACCCTGCTCAGCACCACAGTGATGCTTGTGGGGGCAATAGTGGGAGGAAAGGGGCGGCTCCAATCCCACTGGAAGGAGTCAATGGGATGCAGAGAAATAGGGTATGTCACATCTGAGGGACAGAGGCTATTTTGTGTTACTCAGCACCAGCAAGAGCTTATAATGACAATTTTTAGCAGATAGGCTGGGGCTTGTGGTCATCATGTCCTCCCATGAAGTGTTTCTCTTCAGGGGGAAATAAGCAGATGCTCAGGGACATTTAAGCTTTGAGATCAGCAGTTCTCAGGGTGGATTTAAGCATCAGCCCTTATGAGCCCCTTGGGGCCACAGCCAGACCTCCCACCAGCTTTACATGTCTCTTTGCTTTCAGGATCTCAGAATACTCCCTGTGCAGCTGTTGGCTCTGATGCCCACCTGGCAGCTGGGGAAGGTGGGCACCAAGTCTGACTTCTCCCCAGAAGAGCTGTCATGAGTGGATCTCAGCTTTTTCCCTCATTTGGGGCTAGCAGTGTATGGGAATACAAGAGAGGGCCACATGGCCATGTCAGATGGGCCCACACTGGTCCTGGCCCATACATTGCTGGTTGGAAGCCTCTTGCAGCTCTGCAGAGCCGTACCTCTGACTGGGATGTTTTCAGTATTTCACACTCATTTGCTCTGTCCTCCCGCAAATCCTCCTTTAATAGCTGCATGAAAAGGCTGCTATGAATCATGCTCTATTTTGGTGAGCAAACTGGTATTTTTGGCACAGTGGTGGGGGCCCCGTTCCTGCACTCCCCACCCGCACTGTGCTTTGGGGACAAGGGACAGGGAAGCACCAGGATGGTGGCCTGGGACGGGGTTGATCTCAACTGTACCGGTGGGGTTTGTGGGGATACAAAGTGCAAATCAAGAGTGAGCCCAAACCTCACCCTCAGTTTCAGTCGTTTGGGTTTACCTAAGAGCAGCATTCTTTTTCTAACTATTTTTTTTTCCAAATAATACTATAATAGTTCAGCAGTATGGCCAAGGATAGCAGGGCTTTGGGACACTGCTCCCCATCCCTTGCCCTCAGGATACATTGCACTACATATGCCGGTTCCCTGCCAGCTGCATGAGCCTTGCCTTCATGCTTTTCTCCCAGAAATCTGTCCCAAGGATGGGACTGGGCTCAAGGGTCACAAACACTTCGGTTTCCTCCCAGAGCTCCCCATTACACGTTAAACATCTAGCTGCAAAAGCTCTCTTGCCTCCTGGTTTCGTTCCTCCACCAAAGCCAGCCTCTGGTTGTGAAGCACTCCTATTCACCCAGCCAGAGAATTTTCAGCATCATTAAGCGTGGAGGTGCTGCTAATTCCTGGCCTCGCTGCCTCAAAGGTGCCTCCTACCCGTGCACAGCCTCCAGCGCTGCCCGAATGGTTTTCAACATGGTGTGAAAGCAAAGCTCCTGAATTAGCGGGGGCTGATCGCGGTTGTCGGCATCCAGGTTTGGGGGAAGTGCCGTACGCACCTGCTGCAGGGGAGCCCCCGGCACGGCCCCTCAGTCCGACCACTCGTTATCATCCAGCTCGGAGTCGTCGTCTGACTCGCTGTACTCCACCGCGATCCGGCGGGACAGGATGGTCGCCACGTCATTGCCCACGGGCTCTTTCTTGGCCTCTTGCTCCCACTGCTCCTGGACTTTCCGAAGTTGAATGCCTGTGTTAGGAAAGGCGGGAGAGCTTTAGGGGCACTGTCACCTACCAGCTGCCATCCCCAGTTAAATGCATGGGCTGGAATGGGGTGGCTGCACCTGATTACAAAGATACAAGCTTCCTCCTTGGCACCCACTCAGCCTGCAGAGGTTGAAGCTTCTCTGAGGCCCAATCTTGCCTTCATCCTTAACATTAACATGAAGCAGGAAAGGTAAATGAAAGAGACCCCAGAAAGCAGCATCAGCTGCAGTCTGGCAGGAGGCTGGGTGCCTAGGAGTGCTGTCATAGAGCCCAAGGCACTTCCATCCATGGACTGTCACCTCCCCAGCAATGACACCTTAAGTCATACAACCGTCATAAGCTCAGAAGAGTTGGGTTGGAAAGGACCTCAACGCCCATCCAGCTACAGCTCCCTGTCACGGGCTGCCTGTCTGTATGGGAACTGTTGATCACAGCCTGAACCTCTGATTGACCATTTGAGGCAAGCAGTGAGTCAACCCTTGGAGCACAGGTGAAGGCAATTCTACTTGGAAGGAGTGGAGCCTGGCTGCACCTCTCCTAGATCCTATTTAAGGACTGACTGCCACTAAGGAAGGATCCCCCTCTGGAGATTGCTCCTTGTGGAACTTATTGCAAGTCTACAACACTGGTGAACATTTTTTGCTTTTTTCTGATTATCTTTCCACTCTGATAATCTTATTAAACCTGCCATCTGTATACTTATTGGTCTTACATCCTACCAAGCCTAATCTCTGTAATCTTTGTATACTTATTGACTGTACAACAATACACTGTCCCCACCAGCTCAGGCTGCCCAGGGCCCTGCTCAGCCTGGCCTTGTGCATCTCCAGGAATGGGGCACCCACAGTTCTCTGGGCAGCAGTGCCAGGGCCTCACCACTCTCATCATAAAGGATGTCTTCTTTATATTTGATCTACACCTTTACTCTTCTAGTTTAAAGCTGTTTACCCCTTGTCATTTCACTATTCCCTCTGACAAATAGTTCCTCCCAACCCATCCTATATCCCCTTTTAGCCATAAGAAGGCTTCTATCAGGTCTCCTTTTCCAGGCTGAACAACCCCAGCTCTCCCATCTCTTCTCCAAAGCAGAACAGCTCCATCCCTCTGAAAACCTCCCCTCCACATCCCCTGGGACACGGATCCTTCTCTGCAGATCTCATTTGGGTTCCACCACCTTTGTACACCACCTGGACACCCAGGGCTTGCCTGGATCTCCAGCAAGACATCACCACCCAACTCTGGACCACAGCATTTCATTTGGGGTATCCCCTCCCTCCGGGGGAGCCGGATCCCCGCTCCGTCTCACCCCTGCGGATGGCTGCGAGCAGGTCGCTCCGGGCATCGCTCATAGGCATCAGCGGGATCGGCGGTTTCCGGGACTCGGCGGCGGGGGCCGGCGGTGAGGCTGAGTGCGCCGGAGAGGTGGTGAGAGCGGGTGGCCCCGGTGGCGGTGGCGGCGGGGCCACGGGTGGCCCCATGGGGCCGGCCTGAGGCGGGGAAGCGGAGTAGGGGCCGGGCGGTGCAGGGGGTGGCGAGGGCGCGTAGGAGGGGTGGGCGGCGGGGGCGGCCGCGCCAGGAGGCAGCGCCGTGGGAGCCGCCATGGGGCTGTCGAAGGCAGTCTGCGCGGAGGGGATGACGGGCGGCGGGGGCGGCGGGGCCGGCGGCACGAAGTACTCCGTCATCGGTACGGGCTGTGGTCTGCAAGGGGAGAAGGGCCATCAGCAACGTAGGGCGCGGCAGCGAACCTCCCCGAGTCCCCTGAGACGTGGAAGGAAGCCCTACCCGAAATCCTTGACCAAGTGCGGTCTGGGTCCGTTCAGCACGGCCTCGGGGGGCTGCGGTGCGTGGGGCTGCTGGGCGCGGTTGAGGCTGTTCTGCCGGCTGCTTGCTGGTGGTCGGTAGCCATGTTCTGGAGGGGGGACAGCCGGCAGCACCCCCTCCTTGTGCTCTGCGGGCACGTGGGCTGTGGGGGCCAGCAGCTGTGCCGGGTGGTTGGGGCTTGCCGGGTACGAGTGCTCAGCAGCATCCGAGGTGTAGGATCTACGGCGACAGGAAAACCAAAGGGTCGCATGCCTGGGAGGGGAAGGGCTGGGCAAGAGACTGGTTTAGGGTACTTGGAGTCAGGGCAACGAAACACAAGGGAAGCCACAAAACAGAGGCAGACAAGAAAGCACAGAAAGGAGAACACCAATGGAGCTGGACCAGACTCTTCCCTCAGCTCCTAAACCGCTTGGATTTTATCCTACCACCAACATCCAGGATGTGACCCTGGTGGGCATCACTATGCTGTGCATGAAACTACATGGGTCTACGGCTCATTGACCTCGCCTTCCCAAAAACCCTTGGTCTGCTAGCCCAGGGATGGAGAAGAGAAAAAACAGAAGTGCCGAAAAGCAAAGGAAGCCCAGTGAGCTGAACATGTAATAGGTAAAACCTGCCTATTATCTGGGGACAGTGATCCTTCCGATGATGCCATGTGATATGGGGATGGTGAGAACCTGTTATCGGGTCGGAACTCTTTATCGTATGCCATCATGTTCCACTCCAGGCGCCGGTTGCGGGCTTTCCGCACTTTCTTCACCTCCCGAGTGGAGTCCTCCACCAGCCGCTGCTCCTGAGGACACACAGCTGCAGCTCCACCTCTGTCCCATGGCCCTCAGCCCACCCCCAGAGCCATCCCCGTGCCTGCTACCTTCTGCCTGCGTTTCTCCTTCCTCTTGTCCTCTGTTGCCTGCAGCATCTTCTCCTTCCACAAGTTGAAGAAATAGGAGGGGTCGGTGTAGAATTTGAGGCCATCTTTCTTGTCATCCCTGAAGGGAGAAAAGGGGGATGTAAAGCACAGGGAGCAGGAATCCTGAAAATATTTCAGTGCTAGCAATGGCAGTGCACAAATAGAGACCCTTCAGCCCTTCCCATGATTACCACCTCCCATCAGCATCCATCTCTTTCCCATCTCATGCCCTGCACTGGGACATTCCACAGAACTATGTGGGGACAGTAATGCTGCTGCCTTGGGCACTTGTTCTCAGAAAAGAGACCACTTCCCCTGCATAGGAAGGCTTGGTATGGTCAAAGAATAAGCTGTTGGGCACCCACAAACATGACCAGTGTGGAGACATCATTACCTGCAGTACCACATTATGATCTTATGGACATGGCACAAAGGGATATGATTTACTGGTGGGACTCGGTAGGTCAGGGTCACAGAATCATGGAGAGGCTGAGGTTGGACAGAACCTTTGGGTTCATCTGGTCCTGTGCCAGCAGGGCCACCAGAGCACGGTGCCCAGGTCCACATCCAGAATCCTTTGAAAATCCCCACAAGGAGGCACCAGAACCTCTCTGGGCACCATCAACACTATCATCACACATTAGCACTTGTGCTATAGTATCTCCAAGGCTGATGATTGGAGGAGTTGATCTTCTCCAGCCTCGATGATTCTGTGGTGCAAGGTCACCTGTTTCAGGTATCCCATGCTATTATGGTGGCACAGCCATGGGGAACACAGCCCCCACCAAGAAACAGGGTCACACCCCCTGGCACCTCTCCTGCCGGGGGCCCCAGACATCCCCCCAGCACTCTGAAGAGCAAGGGGATGGCTGCCCCACCTGTATGGTGTGAGGATGTTGAGCGGTGGGGGCTTGTCGCAGCGCTGGTACATCTCCATCACCGGGTTGGGGATAGAGTTGCGGGACACAACCTGTTGGTTCTGCACTGTGGAGCTCTTGAAAGCCTTCCTCATGTTGATGTCCTGCAGTGAAACTGGGGACACAGGGTGGGGAGAGGGAATTATCCCTTTGCCTCACCTTGCAGCCCCCAAACAACCACAGGTGCCATGCTATCCGCCTGCCAGCCCCTCACCTTCCTCCACGGTGGAGTCCAGCTGCGTCACCTTGATGACCAGCAGGTCCACCCTCTCCTGCAGCGAGTTCATCCTCATGTAGAAGCTGTTGGCCTCATTGAACAGCTCCCCAAAGATGTCCTCAGCGTGCCGACCTGCCAGGGGACAACACGCTCCCATCATATGCTGCTTTGTTTGCAGTGTCAGAACTGTATGCTGTATTTTGGGGAGCTGAGCTGAGTCTCCTCCAGGCCTGGCAATGCACATGCCATCCTGACTAGGTACAGGTGGGAGTTTGCCCCACAAACCCCAACCAAGTGGCTCCCACATCAAGGCTGCTTTTGGCAGCTCTCTAAACACAGATCATCTCTTCCTGGGAGTATTTTGGAAAATTATCTAGTTCTGGAGGGGCAAAAAAGACACTAGATGGAGAGCCCTGGGGAGCCTACACTGCTCTTTCTATTTTAAGGCAATATTAAGCAGTGAAATAGGTTTCCCCTATTAACTGTTCCCGCTCGCATGCACAGGGCTCTTGTCCTTCCCTTTGCTGCTGGATTCAGTCCTGAAACAGGAAGGACTGAGGCCTTTTATACTGAACTATCTTTCACCTAGAGCATTCACATGGCTCTCAGAGTGTTCTGCATTAACAAGAAGAGGTGTTTTAAAAATCTAAATACCTTCTCATTTCCAGCCAAGTCAAGAAATGAAAGATCGTTTGACCAAAAAGTCAAACAGACTGGCAACAGGAGGACAACAAGTCTTAAAACATCCCTGTGTTCCCCCTTTCCAACCCAACTCTTCTGAGCTTATGATAGTTGTATCACTTGAGGTGTCACTGCTGGGGAGGCGGCAGTCCATGGAGAGAAGTGCCATGGGCTCTATGACAGCACTCCTGGGCACCCAGCCTCCTGCCAGACTGCAGCTGATGCTGCTTTCTGGGGTCTCTTTCATTTACCTTTCCTTCTTCATGCAAATGTTCCCCCCAAGAGCATCCCTTCTTAATATATGGATAAACCCCACTCTACTGGGAACTCGCAGAACCAAACTGGGGTCAGTGACCACAGCATCCCACCACCTCAACCATTCCCAGTGACTCACTGAGGCTGCCCAGCTGCTTGATGATGGCAGCCAGCGTGCTGTTGGTGACACATTCCAGCTCACTCGTCACCCCCTCAGGCAGGGCCCCCCGGCACAGATGCCGGGGCTCAATGTTCCTCTTCACCAGCGGCATGCTGCCGGTGGGCACTCACACCCTCCTGGGAGAGGAAGAAAGAAGGAGAAACAACCCAAAGCCTTTTCCATTTGCATTTCCACTCTCCTCTCTCTCTGAGGACCCACCTGGGAAATGGCGATGACAGAGTGTGGCTCAAACCAGCAGCAAACCCCGTGCGATGCAGCCCTTCAGCTGGCCCCAAAACACCTCCCCTGACCCAAACAGGAGCGAGAGAGTGCCTGTAATTCCTTTATTTCCAGCTGACTGCAGAGTTCTCTGGGATTTATTTGTGCACACACACAGCTCTGATGCGGGCTGCCATGTCCTGCCCTGCTCTCCACAGCATCCCTGTGTGCCCCCAGGGCCGGGGCGGCTCGCTGTCTGCAGGATTGGCAAGCCACGAGGAGGGAGGAGGAGGATGGATGGGATGCTAAGAGCTGGGCATACCCATAAGGCAGCAGGAACGCCGACTACGGCAAGGGACAGAAATGTGCACAGCTCGCGTTTTTTGGCCCTGACAGTGCTGGGCAGAACAGATTCCCATTGATAGCACCCACCAGGCTCCCCAGCCCCCCATCCAAACCCCAGCGTGGTGGGAGTTTTCTAATGCAAATGCAAACTCTTGACAAAACAGTGCAAAACTTGTATCTAAATCATTAGTGCTGAGCTCCCAAAAAGGCTGATTGTGCTCCCAGCAACACAAAGCAGATGCTATTCTGCCTCCTGAGTCCATCCCCTCCAGCACTTCCCAAACTGAGAGGAAGCACTTAATGAGCTGCTTGTGCCCTCCATAGGAAAAGGGGAGGTACAGAACTGTTCTCAGCATGGGATGCTGCCCCATGGCTGCTGGCTGCATTTCCTGATGCACGAAGTCCAGAAGCACTGACGGTAGTCACTGATGGCACCCAGGTAAGGCTGAACTTGGGCAGCTGCAGGCCTTGAAGCACCAGAGTGCCATGTTTAGGCAGGCACTGACAGATCATCATGACCCCCAGCAGCATCACCTAGGGCCCATCCTGGGACGGGAGCTTAGTGAAGCTTGGTATTGCCCTCTGGGCTCAGTGTGGCAAAGGGACTTGGGCTGCTGGCTCCTTGGTGTCCCCTCTGAGCCACCCCTATGGGACTGACAGGTAGTCCTACAGGGCTGGATGAGGGCATGTTCTAGGCGATGTTCAGAGCCTTCCAGGTGGCAATGAGACAGTTTGGTGAGCACTAGATCCTGACTTCATATTGTGTGAGATGAGAGCACGGATTTAGGAAGCGATGGGGTGTGTGCAGCTATGCCAAGCTCTCACAGAGCTCAGTGCTGTGCCCCTATGCTGAGCTTGGATTGGGGTCTGTCTGTCTTTCTGTCTGTCTGTTTAGCCCCTGTTCTCAGATCTCACCCAACTGCACTGCCTAGGCACTGCCAGCAGTGGGACTGTGTAGCCCAGCAGGAGCCCTGGCCAGGCACCAACAGCAGTGCAAGGAGAAAAGCAAAGGGAGCAGTGTATGGCAAATCTACAGTGCTTGAATGGAGACAAGGAGGTTTGCAAACACACATCAGGAGAGTGAGATCAGGAAGGTGATGAGATGGCTGCTTGGTTGGGATGTAGCACAGAGAATCTGCTTGCCAGAGCCAGCCCTGCAGCCACTGCTGTGCTGCACACAAAATGGAGTGCTCCCTCACCACCAAGGCACATTGCTCGTGTTTAGGAAATGCATCTGTGACCGCTTGTTACTCTGCTGATTGCTGGAGTGACTGCGATCGCTACCAGCCCGACAGGCATCATTGCTTCACATAGAGCTGATAGCACTGCTGAGCTCTTCCAAAGGCTCACGGAATGCTCTGCAACTGGCTGGATCTCCAGCATCCCCATCCCTCAAAACATGCCAGAGGGCAAATCCCAGGAGGCTGCTCCTGGGTCACCGATCCGTCAGCGCAAGGAGGTTGAAGGCTCACAGCACAGCGAGCTGTGATGTCTCAGCAGTAAGGAACTGAACAGCAGCCACCCCAATCTGCTGGAGTGAGCTCACTCCCATGCACATGGCTGAGGTCCTGCTGGATAGCCAGGGGAAGGGTCAGCGCCCGCAGCCAAGAGGAGCACAAGCTGAGGCTGCCTGCCTGGGGCTGCACTGCCGGGCTGGAGCTGGAGCTGGTGCTGCCCATGGCCAGGGCCAGCACCTCCATCCCAACGGGAGCGCTGCCCGCACCTTCCCCACGGCCCATCTGCAGCCTCCGCCTGCGCTGCGCCAACCGCAGCGGCTCTGCCTCCACCAAGCTGCAGGAGAGAGGCTCCGCCACCGCGCTGAGCTGCGAAGTGCAACACAACACAGCTAAAAATATTCCCTAAGAGTTGTGTTAGTAAATGCCACGCTAATTTTTTTTTTTTTTTTTTTTTTACCTTCTGCTGCAAAGCTCTCAGCTCCAGAAACAGCAGTTGGCTCAATTGCCTCTAACTTGCAAGCACCTCTCCGAGCTGGGCTTTGCAGCTGGGCTTTGCAGGGCCACAAAACTCTTTAGGGGGATGCTGAATATGCAGTGCCTCCTGCCTTGGGATTAAGGGAAAGCTAACCCAGTTGCTCGACAGCAAACAGGCTCCTGCATGGCTTGACCTGAACTATACATACTGCTACATCAACTGACAGGTGGGTTGTTATGCAGCTATTTTCCTTAGGGATTAGTTGGTGTGGATTTTCTGGATCCAAAATAATGCGTGGATACCCTGGCAGTGAAGGGACAGGGGAAAGCCAGAGATGGGGCAGGGAGCAGCAGCAATCCTGTGCATGCTTTGGCTGAAAGAAGCCTGCTGGAAAGGAACCACGTGCTGTTCTTAATGACTCTCTATCACCAAAAGAAGCCTTCAATGCCATCCCCTCTCTATGCCCTGCTCATTACCAGCAGGCTGGCCGTGTCCCGCCAGCAGTGCAGCAGGACGCAGCCAAACAAACCCCCATTCTCTGCACCACAGAAGCGCTTTGATCAGCACGGGGCAGCCCGGGAGAGCAGCAGGGCTCTTCCTGGGCACTCGCAGCTTGGGAACAGCCGGCAGAGACGCGTTTCCCTGCAACAGTGACAGGCAGCTCTGCAAAAGCATGCTGGCCTCTTTGTTTTTTGTTTTTCTTTTCTCTTTTTCCTTTTGGCTTGAGGGCTGTTGCTCAGAACTTGTCAAGATCTTGGCATGCACAGCTGATTTGTCATCTACCAGAAAATGGAGGACGAGCATCCTTGGTTCAGCATGGGGCCAAAGCAGACAGCAGCTCCAAGCAAGTCCGCTTCACCTCAGGGTTCTCTGCGGGCTGCAGATCCCAGGGAAGGCAGCGGACATTTGGGGACTTGGTTGCATCACTGTGTAACAGCCCTTGGCGTGCCCTGTGCTCATAGCTGTGCAGTACAGCACATTAACCTCCTGCCTGCCATGCAGAGATGCTTCTCCCTGCCACTGAGCTGCTCCCTGCCACTGGGATGCTCAAGAGATGCAGGAATGCCAAATGCCATCTAAACACCTTTTTTTTATTTCTTTTTTTCCCTTAGCTATCCCCTCTAAAACCCAGGCAATGAGACATAGAAATAAGGGCTGTGCTTAGACACACTGAAGTTTGGAGGATGAATGATGAATTCATCCTACTGCTGACCCATCCATCCAGATAATGCACTCTCCTGCTTGGGTTGCCAGGCACTGAGCAGCCATAGACAAGCAACCCCAAATTGCACTGAAAGTGGCCGTGGCTCCGCAGCCATTGGGATTTCAGCACGGCGGCAGTGAGACCTCAAGCATTCAGAGCTGCTATGAAAGCTCTGCAAGTCGCTGAATCACGGAGCACAAGGCCCAGGCTCTGCACATGCATGCCTGCGTGCTGGAGGGGCTCTGAGCTGCAGAGGGGCACGTGCAGGCAGCCACCGGCCCCAGCAATCCTGCTAAACAGTGCCCCCTCCAACCCCCCTCCATGTGCAAATGGAAAGCACTGGTAGAGCCTCGCAGCAGGGATGTAAAGTGATGGCCCCTCCCTGCCATGCAAGGGTGCAAAGCACACAGGTTCCCTCTTCATGCAGGAATGCAAAGTGACAGCACCCCCGCGGTCGTGCGGTGTGCAAAGAGGTTTAACATCTCCCCCCCCCTCCCCACACACACATACTCCATGTGAGGACGCAGAGAGTCCTCGACCCCTCCACACTGACTGCTCTAGGACTCCTTCCCGATGGGAGGTGCAGGCAGCCTTACACCCCCGCCCCATGCGTGGGCAAAAACCTCCATGAAGAGCTGGGAAGTGAGGCTCTCCCTCCACCGTGAAAATCGGCAAAGTGTCAGGGGACCCCCCCCCTGAAAGGATGCACAGCGTCCAGCCCCCCTTCACATGGATACGGCTGGGGGGAGCACAGGGATCCAAAGTGGTGGTGATACTCCCCCTCCCCATGCAAGGATGCAAAGCGGTATCCCCCCCGATTCAAGGATGCAAAGCACTGAGTTCCTCCTTTCCCTTCCCTTCCTCTCCCCTACCCCCCTCCCCCCCCCCAAAAAAAACCGCAAAGCGTGGGAGACCCCCAAAACCCTATAAAGCCACCGGGACCCCCCCACTCCTTCCTCCCCGCCGCCACCTGCTCACCTCCGCCGGCTCCGAGGGGGGGCTCCGGGCGAGCTGCGCGGCGCCGGCGGCCCCGGGGCCGGTGCGGGGCTGCGGCTGCCGCCGTGCCGGGAGCCCCGCGCCGCTCCGCAGTGCGCGCACAGCGCATGTGCCCCCCCCGCCCCGCTCCGCCCCGCACCGCCCCGCTCAGCTTCTCTCCGCTCCAGGCGGGCGGCCCCGGCCCGGCCGCCCCCGGTGCTGCGAGAGCCCCGCGCTCGGCTCCGCCCGGCGGAGATGCGGGGCCGTCGCGCTCCCTTCTCCCCTTCCCGGCGACGACCGCTTCTGCTGGACTCGCAGCAGGATGATCAGCCTAGGGCTGACCTCCTCCTGCGGAAGGGAGGGTGAGGAGCCGGGATGATGCTGAGCAGGTGGTGCACCATCTTCTCGGCCTGCTGGTGGTCACCTCCTATGGTCTTTCCTATGGTCCTTCCCAAGGGAATAAACTCCTTCCACTCCCCCCCGGGGGACATTTGATCCTTTCCATGGTCATGTGCCGGAGCTGCCCATTTGTGATACTGATCCACACCACCCCCTCGTGTCACCCACTGAGCTAGAGCCTCAATGCTGCTGTCCCCAGGGACATCATTTAATTCACTGGGGCCCACCTTTTGAGTCTGTTGAGGTCCCTCTGAATGGCATCCCTTCCTTCCACCTGTCAACCGCACCACTCAGCTTGGTGTTGTCAGCAAACTTGCTGAGGGTGCTTTCGATTCTGTCATCAATGTCATTGATAAAGATGTCAAAGAGCATCAGTCCCAAGACAGACCCCAGGGGGAGAAAAGCTGGACATGAGCCAGCTGTGTGTGCTCACGGCCCAGAAGGCCAGCAGTATCCTATCCAGCAACAACAGAGGGGTGGCAGCAGGAAGGAGGGGTGGATTGTCCCTTTCTGCTCTGCCTTTGCTCTGTGAGGTCCTGTCTGCAGTACTGTGTCCTGGTCTGGGGCCCCCAGCACAGAAAAGATGTGAAGCTGTAGCAGGATGTTCAGAGCAGGGCAATGAGGATGCTCAGAGGGCTGGAACACCTTTCCTATGAAGAAAGGCTGAGGGAGCTGGGGATGTTCTGTTTGGAGAGGGCTCTAGGGAGACCTCATTGTAGCCTTTCAGTTGAGCTTATAAATAGGAGGGTTCTGTGATTCTATGTGGCAGGAACATGGCTGTAGGTCTGCCACCACTAAAGTCTAGCTGGAGTTTTTGCACTTTGCCTCTTGCCTTGCAAACGGGCATGTGGGGGAGAGAGAGAACTTTGGCAGAGGGATGATCTGTGGCACGGGGTGAGGTTTTCAGTGACTCACTCCTTGGTTATCTTCATGAGTGCCCCAGGGCTTCATCAAGGCAGGTTTGGAAGGGAGGCCCTGCATACAGCCCCACAGAGGCAGCACAGTTGAGCTCCCCACTCTCCATAGCTGGAGCTACGGGCACCTTGCTGCCCCCTGACACATGGAACAACCACCAACTCCTGTCACCAATGAACCACAGATGCAGCCTTGGAGCACTCAGACAGTGCCCACTCTCTGGCCCTCTGAAGGGCAGCAAAGCACCATGCACCAGAGCTGCACACCAGGAGCTTTGGGGCCGGAGGCGGTGCGGTGCCGCACGCTCCCCTCCTGTGCAGGCTGTGAGGGTGAGGTAATCCTGGGTAATTCCTGACTTCCATGGAAATGCCTGGAGGCCGTGATGATTATCACTGTAATTAGCCTCTCTGATTTTTCTTGGTGTTCTATAAAACATTAATTTCCAGCTGGATCCTCGCCTCCTTTGTGCACAGCCCCACATCTCCCCGCCGGCAGCGCAGCTCTGGCAGCTCTGCTCAGGGTGCAGGGCCCTGCCCAGGGGCTCTCGCAGCTCCTGGTGAAGGCAAAGGTGCAATAGAAGCACTCTCAGAACCAGCCCTTTCCATCTCTGCACGTGGTTGGTGATGGGGAGTGAATGCAATGCTGTAATGCTCACCGACAAAATGAAGCCATGCATCAGGCTTGGCAGAATGAGGTGCCCAGAAGACCTCTGGGGCTCAGCCCAGGCTGGTGCCCTCATGTTTCAGCCAACCCAAATGGGGTCAGCTTCCATGTTCCTAATGGTGTACAAAACGCCTTTCCTAATGTTTTGATCCCAAATGTGATTAAAGGCCATAGGGAAGGACAGGAGGAAAGGGATACTGTGGCATGTGGTTTGTCACTGCTGGGTACTGGAAGCAGCCTGGCCCCATGACCACTCACTGCCTCCTTCCAGCCTTGGTCTGGGTCCCCATGTTGCAGCTCCCTGCCCTGAGAAGGTTCTTTCTGCCGGGTAATGCATTGTGCCTTGTGCAGCCACATGTACTAGCTATCATGGCCGTGGGTGGAAGTGAAGAAGAAAAGCATTGCTAATGGCGGGCAAGTGGGGCAGTGACCATTCCAGGTGTGGGGATGGCACTGCCGGGGCTGCCTTCCCAGAGCCGCTGTGCAGGCAGCAGGAGCTGTCAGAGTTGTCCCGTGGCTCAGGACAGCCCTGCACTGGGCTGGGTCCCGGCACTGCAGCCACGATGCTGCAGACCGTTTCTACAGCTGCGCTTCCCAGGGTGCTCCCACGAGATATTTCCATCCAGCAAACAAACATTTCTTCGGAGCTGCCGTTCACCCGCGTTTTGCTCGGCCTCCCACTGCGGTTTTCCCCCTTCCCATCGGAACCGGAGGATGCTCCGCGCCCGGCATCCCGCAGATGACGCTGCCGGCCGCTTTCCTCCGGTCTGCCCCTTTTTTAAACCCCACTTCGCTGTGCGGTCATCGCTCGCTTTGCAGCTCCGCAGTGGGTATGAAGGAAAAAAGGAGCACGGAGCGCGCTGCTCCGAGCCCCGGGTGTCGGCAGAGGGCAGTGGAAGATGCTACGAGCGCAGCGAGGCCGGGAACGGGGAGCGGGGATCCGGGGAGGAGACTGCAGCGGAGGAAGGGCCGAGCGGAGCCGCTCTCCTCGGGCGGCGGGGCCGGGCTGGTAGCGATCTGACATCGCTCGGCCGTTACGGCACGGGGAGACGGCAGCCCGCGCCTGGTATGCGGGCGGTGTAAAATAGCCCCGGCGTGGGGAAAGAGCCTTTAATATATGGATTTGGAGTTGTTGTTTTTTTAATTGAAGAAGAGCCGAGGGCGTTCCAGACGCAGTCCCCGCAGCTCCGCATCTCCCCCCTCCCCTCTTTTTGCAGCCGGGGACCACAAACGGGCGTGGAAATAAAAGCTCCCGGCGCTGCAGCCCCCACCTACCGAGCCCCGAGTCCAGTCGGGCCACGATCCCAACTCCGCCCTCACCTGGGCACCCCCGGCCCCCTGCAGTCCTCCCTTCCCGGGCCGGAGCTCCGCGGGGCTCGGGGAAGGACCCTGCGGAGGCGGTGCCGGTGGGGGCCCGCCCCGGGGCCGCTCCCGCCGCAGGATGCGGCGGCGGAGGGCGATGCGGGGCGGCGGGGGCCGGCGCTGAGCCCCGGCGGATCGAGGAGGGGGGCGGCCGGGGAAGCGCCGCCCGCTCCGAGGGGGAAGGGGGTGGTCCGGGAGGAGAGGGGCCCGGGGAGGGTGGGGGGAGCTCCGGGCCGCAGGTAGGGGCCGGGGCCGCGCGATGGAGGAGGAGGATGGAGGCGGCGGAGGGGAGGCGGGGAGTGAGGCTGCGGCAGGGAGGGGGCGGGCGGGGGGGGTGGCGGGCATGTGGGACCGGCTGCGGGGCAGTCGGGCGGCGGGCGGCGGCCGGAGCGCGGCCGCGATGGCGCAGCGCGGGGCGGAGGGCGGCGAGCGGGGGCCGGCGGAGGAGGGCGGGGAGGGAGAGCCCCGGGCCGGGGCCGAGCGGGGGCCGAACGGGGCCGCCGCGCCCTTCCAGCCTCCCGAGGGCGGCTTCGGCTGGGTCGTGGTCTTCGCCGCCGCCTGGTGCAATGGCTCCATCTTCGGCATCCACAACTCCTTCGGGATCATCTACACCATGCTGCAGAGCGACCTGGGCGAGGGCAAGAAGGACCCCACGCTGGAGTTTAAAACAGGTACGGGTCCCCTCCGGCTCCCCGGCCCCTCCCGGCCCCGCTTGGAGCCGGACCGCTCCCTGCCCCCCCGGCCCCGCGCTCGTCCCTATATTTATCCGCCGCAGTATCATGTGTTGTTCCTAAGCTGCGATGTACTCAATTAAAAGTAATTCATCCGAAAAGCATGCCCGGAGCTTGTCCTGCCCGCTGCCTCTTGGTGCAGGGGGAGCGATGCCGGATCAGCCCGTGGAGTTCATGTGGTTCTTATGTGATTCTCTCTTCCCACTGTGGGTGTCTGGCTGGCTGTCCGTCTGTCCTGGCTCTGGGATCCACAGTCCGGGTGAACATCTGCCCTGCAGCCACGTTACCTTGAAGCTGCTTTCCTGGACAGACATAGGGCCACAGACAGTGCCCACCTGCACATATGAGCAGGAACCGGGGACCCAGCCATCGGGGCTGTGTTGACAGGAGAAGGGACATTTCACTGCACAGTGAGGGGATCCCTGCCCTGGGGTGGCAGTCAGGGGTCCCAGATGTGCCAGAGGCCCAACCTCCATGAGGTCATTTCCATTCTATGATGGACACCCATGGTCCACCTCTCTTGTAACTGTAGGGTTGAGAACTTGGCATAGGGCAAAACCCAATGATTTTGTTGTCCCTCTGCATGGGACAAAGGATGGGGGCTGGTAGGGAGCTCAAAGCCCAGTTTGGGGACTGCTGGTGGCCGAGCAGTCTGCAGTCCTTCTGAGAAGACGGGGGTGATCCCAGCCCAAAGGCACCACCTGAGAATGGGGAATTACCCCTGCGATGCTGTCACTGGAGAAACAGAGGTGACTGTGTCACAGCGGTGTGCAGGGCGCGTGTGGCTGGGGTAATTACAGTGATTGATGGGCTGTGCATGTGTGAGATCCCGGGCAGCTCATCGCTGAGCTGGCTGCTTCCTGCTTGCCATGATCCTATCTGCAGAGCCTAAGGCAGAGCTGGGAACATAGAAGCAGTAACAAAAGAAATCGAATAACACAAGCCCTGGTGGTTTCAAGACTACATGCCCAAGACAGAGTTTGGAGGAGACAGCATCTGTCTCTCACTCCCAAGATGTATTTATCTGTGGCTGTGACCGCACAGAGGCCTCGAAAAAGAAAGGTGTGTGGGCGTGTGAGGTGAGCCGGGCTGGGGAATTACACTGCCTGGGTGACGGATCTGCATTCCAGCCTGGGCACCCAGCAGAGGGGCTATTGAGAACCACAACGTGGGGATGGATCTGGTATCAACGGGCTGTGGGTTTTGGGGTGAATGCTGGGTGCTGTGGGATGTGGTGTGGGGCCCTCAGCCCTTCCTCCCCTGGTTTCCCCACTGCTCCTGCTCGGGGTTGCATAATTTCCCTGCGGCGGTCGTTTGTGTGCAAACGTAATAGGGAAAATATCGGAGCTCCTTTGTGAGTGTTGATATTGATACTGCCTTCCTGAATCCATCTGTTCATGCCCAATGTCCTTCTGCTTCTCATGGCTGGCGGCGGCAGCCAAACGCTGGGATTCCCTTGTCTTGTGCAGATGTGATGGGAACACGCAGTCCATCCTGCCCTAACACCCGGCACATCCCTAGGGCTCCGCACCCCGGCTCCCATCTCCATGCCCCTGGAGGTGGACTCATGCTGGAGGGGCTCTCAGCCCAGTGCTGAGCACGGCCACCGCCGTTCAGGCATCCCTTTAAAAATAGGGTTCTGTTTATGCTGAAGCGGGTACTGGTCTGAGCCAAACAATAGCCGCCCCAGCGCACAGCTATAATTATCAAGGTTTATTTCTTGTTTGCACTGGTCACATTTTCTCGCGTTTGATCTTGAGAAACGCAGGATCCACGGAGTTCAAATTTCGGGTCAGGCTTTGAAAACAAACCCTCTCCCAACAATGCATTGAATGCATACGCTGCTTTGTTTGGAGAAATATACTGCGAGGCGGCCGTCAACAAGCAGCGCTGCGCTCGCTGCCGGGACCACCGCCGTCCCCTCGCAGCGTGGGGCCCAGCCAGGACTTCAGTACGGCACACTCTGTGCTTTTGGGTTTGTTTGCTTTTGGGGGGAGGCAGACATTGGCGGGGGGATCACTGACACTGGGATAAATATAAAAAAAAGGCATGTGAGCACTCAGCCAGAAGCAACTCGTCCTGCTCTGCCGAGGTGCTGAGTGACAGCCGAGCGCGGCTGCTGGACCGCATCGATTTTTCCCCCGATATTCTTATTTATCTTCTTCTTCCCCCCTCTTTTGCTCTTTGTCAATACACTAGGTACAGATTAACTCCCTTTGCTTAATATTTAATGTTTCCATTGCTCAAAATGGGAGCTGAGTGCACCCAGAAGAATGACCCCAGGATCTGCTCTGCTTGGCCACAGCCCTTCAGGCATGTCTATGTGTCTGTCCTCCTCCTCCTGTCCGTCCTCCTCCTCCCCCCCCCCCCCCCCCCCCCCCCCCCCCCCCCCCCCCCCCCCCCCCCCCCCCCCCCCCGTCTGTCCATCAGCCTCCTCCTCCCATCCGTGCGTGGGAGCGGGAGGAGCAGCCTTCCCTTCTTGCCCAGCCCCAGTGAGTTAGCTGCACAACCCTCCGTGCACGGTTCTCACTGTGCCAGGCTGATGGCATCTCCATAACTGGCTTTCTGTTTAATCTGAGGGGGGAAATTTCTCCTGGAACACCCATTAGGATGGGTGAGCTTAGCTGGAAAGGGCTGTTTGTAACCCAACACCGTAACGGGGCGGGGAGGCTTGCTGAAGGAGTGACTCTGATTCTTGACAAAATAAAGCGTTTCGGTACAACCGACATGAGGAGAGCCTGAGGGGAGCAGCCAGTACAGCTCCCCCTGGGGCTGGAGCATGGGCCCCCTCATGAGGGAAACCCCAGGGAGTGCAAATCACAGGAGGTAATTCTTGGAAACAATCCCAATCCATTTCAGCAGCGCTCAGAGTTTGGAAGGGAGCAGCTGCCACAGAGCTGCACTGTGCTCAGCCTCCAGCATCCTCCTGTGGTACCAGCTTTGAGCTCCCACCTTCCTACTCAAACCTGCAGGATTTGGCACTTTCAATTCACTGCTGGCTCCACTGCTCACCCTGCACAGCCAACATGTGTCGTGAACTTCTGTTTTGCTGCCCAGGTTCCCAAGTCAAACTGGGTCCCCAGACCTCACTTGCATCCTCCAGAAGTCAGCCAAGGGGATGCTTTGGATGCTTTCAAGGATAGAGGCTGCGCAACTTCTCTGGACAACCTTGTTCCCAAAGCGGCACCTCCTTGAAACCAGTGCTGTGGGCTCACTGCCCTCGGGTGCTCCCCACCTGCTCCACAGCACCTGCATTCACACTGTGCAACATTTCTGCTCACTGCTCTTTTCTCCTTCTCTTCCTAGAAGGATCATTCCCATTCCCTGTCCCCAGGGAAGGCAATGCTCCTTTGGCAGCGTGTGCCGGGCTGCTCATTGCCGGCACTGCGGGAGCTCGGTTCACTCGGGGCTATTTCCTTGCATCCACCCCAAGATAGTTGGGGCGGTTGCAAAAGCCCCGTGACGCGCATTCAGCATTGCTGCAACACGCTTTGCATCTGTGAGCGATGGAAATCTCTCCCCCAGCACCTCGCACAACAGGTCCTGCCGGCTGCCGGGCATGGGCTGCGGGCAGAGGGCTGCCCCACTCCAGCCTCCCCGCTTGTTTTGGGATTTGGGATTTATTTATCACCTGATGCATGATTTAGGGTGAGAAGCTGGGTGAAGCCCTTCTGTCCTCCATCCCTTTGCAGGGTGTGACCAGACACACGCAGGTCTTATGCTGGGTGTTTACCCCAGTGCAGCTCATTTAGGGCAGCAGCCTCCTGGGCACAGATAGGACCAGCAGATTGCTGCAGACTGCACTGCCTCTGACTGCTCCTGGTGCTTGGGACTTGCCAGGGTTTACCTGCAGTGCTGTGGGGGGACTCTGGCATGAGCCCCCACCTGTTCCTGGGTCCAGTGGGGACAAGGCACTGTGGAGTCCAGCAAGCGGCATCCCCCAAATCCCCTTTCTTTGGCCACCTTGCATCAGGCACCAAAACAAAGCTTTTGTTTCAGGCTCTTGGCCTTAATCCCCACTCCTGCAGCTCCTGCGCACAGATGGGAGGTGAAATCCTGCCTCTCGGGGGATGTTGCGTGAGTGTGTGTGTGTGTTTGTACTTGCCAGTCGTCTCAGGGTGCAGTGGTGCTGGAACCTGGCAAGGAGCAACCTGTACACAACAGCAGCTCCAGTGCACCCTCAGCACCAAGTCCAGCGGAGCAAATTGCCCGTGATTAAAGATCGGTACTAATTATATAATGGGCACACACGTGCCGACACCCAAACACACTCCTCTCAGGATTTCCCAGCTGGGAGCGCTGCACCCTGCAGCCCTGCCCCTGGGTGGCCATTGGCCCTGCAGTGGTGACAGTGCCATTTGGTGGCCGATGGTTCCGTGGCACCGCAGACACTGGGCAGAACACTCTCTTCCCGACCTGATCTACCAGTCAGCAACCCTCCTCATGGCAGGGTTTGGAACTAGATGAACTTTGAGGCCCCTTCCAATCCAAGCCATTCTATGATTCTATGATTCCCTACTTAGAAAACTCCAAACCCAAAAGCTGCTTTCTGGCCTCCTGCTTGAGGCAGCAGGGAGTACCAGGGCAGTGCTCTGTGGCAAAGAGGCAATGTCAAGGCGTTCTTGGTCACAAGCCAGCTATTAATCTGCGTATTTTAGCAAAAACACATTTATTTCTTGAGGTTTGTGCACACAATGGAAGCAGGGAGCGCTGGGGCAGGGGCTGCAGGGGATTAGCTCCCTGTAAGCTGGGCACGCCAAGCTCCCGGCCCAGGGAGAGCTTAATTAAAGTTGAAGGAGAAGTGTTTCCAAGAAAATAATACGGGGTATTTAAATGGGATATTTTTGTTCTGGGCCCAGAATGTCTCCTTTCCCTCTCGGTGTTAGCTTTAATAAAACAAAATGAGATCTCCAAGAAAAACAAATTGGAGCTCTTTTAAA